AAAGAAAAAGAAAAGCTTACAGCTGCATGAGTCGTGACTGTCAGGTTAGCCTGATGGGACCAAACTCTCTTTGTGATTTTAAAACGTAAGACCGTACCCAGATTTGAAGACTACAGTAAGATTTAACTTCTACTGTTAATAAGATTTTGGTAGGCTACTATTAGATGGATAGCCTAAATGTCCTAATTCAGATGGGCTAGCTGTGTTTTTATGGTATATCAAAAAGTGTATATTTTTTAAATGTGATTGTTGGTACAGTTTACCAGTTTTTACCATACTTTCAAAACAAAAATTAAAATAGGAAAACTATGCAATATGAAAATAATTGAAGACAAAATGTGTTTTACTGAGAAAAAACAAGATTTGGTTTTTAAAAAGCTTTTTCCAAAAGGTACATCTGGAAAAAGGGGGGTCGTCTTATAATCAGGGTCGTCTTATATTCGGGCCAATACGGTAATTCGCGGATCACATGCGTGCCGAACCGTGGGGCTTGGTCCGTACGAATCACAGATCAACTACGAGCCGTTTAATCACTAGTGAAAACACTATTAATTAGAACAGTAACCAGATCGGCAGTTTAAGACATAAACTTGTAAGCACAAAACACAAGATACTTCTCTTTTCAATATAAATAAGACTTTATTGGATAAATCTAAGACAATATAAACTAATCTAACACATAAACACACGCACTCACACATTCACACAAGTTAGGAAGTGAGGTGAGGAAAGAATGAGTTTAAGAGAATGAAAATGTGAAATCCCAAGTTTACAGCAATATGTGCAATTGCATAGACTTGAACAACCATCAATCACTTCGTTAACCCTCGCATTGAGTTCCTCAATGAGGTTAAAATTTATATTAAATGCACCAGTTCAGCTAGAATCGGGAGGTAATTGCGTTGCTTGTTTAGGAGATTCCCTTGTTGTCATCATTGCAGAAAGGGGTTTCCCAAGGTTGCTAATTGGCTGGCAGTTCAGTAGTCGTTGAAGTGACATCTCGGGAAGCCAATGGTTGGGCGTTGGCTGAAGATGCGAAGTTGTGGGCTGGTTAAAGTTTTGAGGCGGTCACAGACTTGAGATGAACCCGGAGACACGGCGTTGCATCAACTTAACTCGGAACACAAAACTCTCAACAGAAAAGAAAATAAACTGAGGGAAAGAAAGAGAATAAGAGTGTGACGAGACTAGATGGATTTTCTCCTCATGATGTACAAAGCAGCTGGCATGTAAGCCAGAGCACGCTCAAAGAGTGCTAAAAAGCAGCGGCAAAAAGCATGGCAGCATAAAGCAAAAAGCGATGACTAAAAACAATGGCAAAAAGCATAATTTGATGGTGTCCTGAGTATTTAAACCGGGCTGTTGGACACATCCCAAATGGTGTCTTGACCAATTAGACATTGTCTTAGCTCGGGGTGTTGCTATGTGTCTCCTCCCAATACATAAATCGCACAAATGTGAAGAGACATTGCATTTTTATTCCTTCTCCTCAGGCAATTGAATCCATTCAAGCTTCATGTGTGCTAGCAAGTGCATTTGGGAAGTGTTAATTCCAGAGTACAATCAATGCCAAATCATCACGAAGTACACATTTATTTTTCTCTTTAGTAACGTTTCCATGTGGAAAAGTGGCAAGTTTGAGTCAGCGGGGCCAACGTCGGACAACTAACATACAGTCAGACTATCAAGGACTCACCTGCGGCCCAGAAGAGTGTCCCTGGCAGGTGAATAAACCACACTTGATCCTCCAGACATCATGTTTGTTGTTTATGTACACACTGCAAGTTGATGAAAGTCAGAGCCAATCTGCAGATTTGAGATCACAGATTTCATAGAAAATCACGTAGCGTATGCTGGTCACAGACTCTGATAGCTTCAGACAGGGTTTCTTCTGTAACTATTAAAAAATTCGGCAAGTGTACGATGACTAGTGTTTTGAAAAATCTGTTCAGGTTTTAAAAGACGTATAGTGTATTCAAAGAAGTGAAATAAAAAGCGCCCATCCATAATAAAAAAAAGTGTCTCACACAGTTCCGGGGGGTGAACAAAGGCCTCCTGTAACGAATCGATGAGTTTTTGTAAGAAAAATATCCATATTCAAAACATAATAATCACTTTAATGTAGCTTGCGCCAACAGTTGTACACGGAAGCAGCTCCGGGCGGATGACGTATGAGTTCAGCATTGCGTTTGGGTGAACTAACCCTTTAAGTCGTTTATATCTACTTGAATTAAGTGCTGTTAGAGTTGAATGAGTTAGAATTCGTCCGCCGCTTATAAGGGTGCGTTAAATCCAACAAAGGCAAGGCCTAATGTTCCACATCCAAATTTTTAGCAGTTTTTGAAACACCTGTATTCTGTACACACACAAAACAATAATTTCAGACACTCACTCCCACATTTAGATGCGGTGGTAACTTTACAGTGTGCAGGTACTTTACATTGTGTACATGTACTCATTTTTTCAAAGGCGATGCTGCGACATGGATCGGTTGGTTTCTGCAGTGGGGTGATCTTCAAAGAGAACATGGTTCTCACCACGGCCCAGTGCGTTAGGAAGTACAGCGACTTTCAGGTGGCGGTGGGTGAGTGCCATTATGTTTTCAGAGCAATTTCATGAAACACGTTGAACAGTGGTTTCCTAACATGCTACAAAACCATTCCTTACACTCTACAGGTAAAAGGGTGACCTCATTCGAAGCAGGAGAGCAGACGCTTCAGGTAAAGCAGGTGCACATCCACCCGCTCTATGTTGAGGGCAAACCTGACCATGACATGGCTGTAGTAGAGCTGACGCAGAAGATCGTCTTCAAGAAGAGCGTGCTTCCAGCCTGTCTGCCCGAGAGAGACTTCGCTGACAGTGTGCTCATGGCGGGCGACTACATGGGTGCCGTCACCGGCTGGAAGGAAGTTTCCGGTGCAACGGATCTTGAAGGGAACCTCATGTTAAACCACCTGTCCTATGACAAACTGCTGGTTTGCTCGCAGCGCCACTCTGGTCAGGTTGGTGGACGTGTCAGTATTTTATGGGGGTTCCCATGGTCACGAAAAACCATTTTGATAATTGTTTCCTCATTATCAACCTTGTTATCATGCACTCATGCAATTGTATATTATCAAAACATAAAACTATCCATGGTCTTGGTGTAGAGGACTCTCAGAATAATAGTAAAACTTAGTAAACGTACAGGTGGATCGACCTAGGGTTTCTAGGGCTGCGCAATTAATCGAATTTCTAATCGTGATTACAATTAGGGATGCCACAATTACGTAATCGTTCAAAGCGGCAATTAATCGTTCAAAGTTCGCTCATGTTATTATCCGTGCTTAAGATGCATTTTTTTTTTCTTTCTACATGTTATTTTAAGGGTTTTTCACATTATTTTAATTGTAGTTTTCGTATAACATTATAATACCACTCATATTTTTACTTTTAATTAATTGTTCCACTTATGTTATTCTGCACGCTTAAGATGCGGTTTTTTTTCTTTCTACATGTTATCTTAAGGGTTTTTCCCATTATTTTAATTTGTTTTAGTATAACATTATAATACCACTCATATTTTTACTTTTTTATAATTTAAAGAAGAAACCAACCCGATGTATGTTTGACATTTGAGGCTTAATACTATAGAAAAGCACTATAGTATTAAAAAGAGTGTTTTCAGCTTGTTTATTTTCATATAAAAATACGGCATGCAGTTGCATCAAACAGTGGTATAAACATCATTCAATGTAAATTGTGATAATCATAATTAATAATCGCAATTACAATTTCAAGGGAATAATCGACAATTATGATTTTTGTCATAATCGTGCAGCCCTACTTTCTTCAGTAGCCAGAGTTTTTCCAGTGCAGTAAAATTCTTGGCAACATTGCTAAAAAAACAAAAACGGGTCAATGGGTTAAAACTCTAAAGGGCCGACAATGGATGATGGTGAGATGCTACAGAGATGATGACTAACAAAGAATCAAAACATACGAGTTAGCTAGCTTTGGGCAACAACTGTCACAGCCAGGGTCAATATTTGCATTTGCAGGTATTAAAAACATCTCAAAAAGTCTGAATTTTTGCGCTTCCACAAATGAAGGCCTCAAAAAGTATTTAAAAGTCTTAAACTCATATTGTGCGTGCGTACTCAGCAAAAAAACGATATCTTCCTCAGTATTTTCATCTTGTTTTCTGAGTTTATGATTAAAACAAGTACAAATATCTGCCAGTGGGGTGTGAAAATATTTGTCTTTTGAATCAAGTTGATTTTTCTGAGCTCATTGGCAGATATGTGCTTGTTTTCATCATAAGCTCACTTCAGTTTGATAAGGTAAAATTATTCCTTATATATTCTTTACTTGTAGTCTTAAAGAATTTGGTCTTAAATTTACTTTGATATAACCCTAGAAACCCTGGATTAAGCTCTTTTAACATGACTAGAAAACATTAAACTGTATGGAAAAACGTCTCAGGTTACTTATGTAACCATGGTTCCCTGAGTAGGGAACGAGACACTGCGTCCTCTAGGGGTCGCTATGGGAAACCTAGAGGACGCAGTTCGAAGTTCCCATGAAAGGGAACATCTCAGGTTACTTATGTAACCATGGTTCCCTGAGTAATGAACGAGACACTGCGTCCTCTAGGGGTCGCTATGGGAAACCTAGAGGACGCAGTTCGAAGTTCCCATGAAAGGGAACATCTCAGGTTACTTATGTAACCATGGTTCCCTGAGTAGGGAACGAGACACTGCGTCCTCTAGAGGTTTCCCTTAGCGACCCCTAGAGGACGCAATTCGAAGTTCCCATGAAAGGGAACCTTGGATTTCCGAAGCCCCTACACAGATAGATAAGGAGTGGAGCCTAGACAGCTTTTCAGGTCTGATTGGTTTGATTAATATTGATGTCTTGGGATTACCTGGTGCACAAATTGCTCAAAATAAAAGGGGGGGGGGACAGAGGAAAGGAATATACAGCATGAACATCAAAGATATTTAAAGTAGATGCATATAACTGAGTGCTTTTATTTTGTCTTCAGGTCACCAACAAAATGGCGTGTACTATGCCTCGAGCTAAAGCAGACTGCATCTTGGGACATGGCAGCCCTTTGCTCACGCTGTACAGAGAGGTGTTCTTCCTCACCGGCATAGTCAGCCAGCCTTCAGGAACCGACTGCAAGAACGGTTATGTCTTTCAGAAAGTGTCCCGCTTCTTGCCATGGTTAAACACATTCATGCGCCCATAATGGAAGAGAAAAGAATGAATGCACAATACATTTCTAACCTGTTTTTGTTTTAGTTGACATTTACGTTTTCTAAAATTTGTTGTGTATAAGTGGGAACAAAGGCAGAGTTCGTCAGAGGGGGGTATTCCAGAAAACAAGGTTAACTTACATGTACCCTGAACTCTTGGTTTGATGAGCCCAAAACTTGTTTACTCGGGGTGTGACTGTTAATACGGCTTTATAATTTAGCTTAGCCATTTTGCTTACGTGTCTGACAAGGTGAGATATATCAATGAGTCACACTATGAGTCCTGTAGGAAATAAAGACAACCTTTTAATTGAGTAGCTGTCAGCATGTGAGATGAGAAAATGTTGGTTTTAAGATTTGTAAGGTAAAATAAAATGAGCATTCGATCATGTTATAATAATGCTTTTTGATGTTATGCATAATCCATGCCGTCACGGCCACTGGAGCCTCATGAAAAGGTGCCCTGCTGAAAAAAAAAACCCCAAAACAATATAAACCATCACAGAAATTCTAATGGTTTCCACTACAAATACCCTTACAAACTATCAACTTTTAACCATTAAAACCATTAAAAATGGTTTCCTGTAGTGTGACTTGGGACTTGTTCCATTAGGTATTGGTGGTTTTAACAAGCCACCAATAGAAGGTGACCAGTTACTAGTAGAGACCAATAGGCACCATTACAGTTTCCATTAAACTCAGTATAATATCCATAATAACTGGTAAAGCCATTACAAATTCTGTGATGGTGTCTATGGTTTATTTTAGCCGGGGGATGCGCATGCGGTGAAGCTGTGAGGTATGTGAGCAGTATGTGTTCAGAAAGTAGGATATTAGAACTACCGTACTTAAATACCCTGAACGTTGCATCAATTTTTCTGGAAAACCCCCCTCAGAAGTGATCCGATTCGTGCTGTAGGTCCTGAACTTTTCCTGTGGTAGATTAGCAGAGGCTGAGAACGTTTTCACATTCTGATTACAAACGCATTTTGTTTTCTTTGAAATAGCATGCACTGATTAATCTTTCAGAGTAACACAATGAATGTGTAATAAAGGGGTCTTGATACACATTTTTTTAATTATTTAATTTCCTGACATGCATTGTTAGTCAGGTTTTTTTTGTGTGTGTACCAAATCACTGCTAAATTAGATGTATATGACCATTGTATTACTAACTGACCATGAGTAGTGCAGATGGCATAAATAAGAAACTAAAGCCAATTACAGCTAGCTTTCTATAGACAATTTTAAGCTTGACTTTGGAAATGAATGCGCCAACAAAAACTGAACGTCTGCTTGAGTTAACCTTGACTATGTATTTTATCATAAATAATGGTGTGTTTATTGGACAAGTGACTCCTGGACATAAATAAAAAATAGTATTAAATAAGAGAGAAACTGAAGTCTGTCTTAAGATGCTGATATTTCACACACAAACTCAATGACACCCTCAAGCTGCCATGCTGGCAAGTAACAATAAAGCCTTCCTTATACATTAACATGTGCATCTCTCAGTTTAGGACATGTATAAGTATATTGTCATCATACGTCATTATACCTCAAACATTTCAGGGTGTTCTGAATCAATGTATTTTGTCAAGTGACGTGAACTTCAATACAAATGTCTGGTGCTGATGTACTTTAATAGTGTTTCACAACACTTCACTGCAATTATAACAATATAACAGTTACCTAAGAAGGTAACAGAACAGACAAAGGAAAGGAAGTGACGTGTGGCCAAATATGGTCACCCATACTTTGAATTTAATACTCTCCAAGTTCATTATAGCCACCAAGACCACTCACTGACTCGCATGACAGTTTTCTTGTCAAGAATTATGTCCATAAATGCTGTTCTTTATCCCAATGGCCAGCAGTTATGGCTCTCCGCTCTATTCGAAGGAGTCAAGGTGTTTTTCTGTCACTCCAAAGCAGTTCTCTGATTGCTTCTCTCTACGTTAGTTTTCAATGGAATAAGTCATATTCATCCTAAATAAAAGATTTGGCAACTTCAGCAAAAATACACTGACGTGTGGATAATCTTTTGTTGAACTTCAATAGTCGGACCTATATTCATTGTCTTTTACAGCTGATTCCACGGAGTAAATCAGAACCTGAAGGCCATGGGAGAAGTTAAGGTCTTTGTTTTAGTGAATTAGTTCCTGCATGAATGTAGTTGAACACCTTTATAAGAACTTAGCTGATGTCTTCTTACCAAAAATCAAAACAAAATCCAGCTCAGTCTATGTTTATATTTGTCATTATAGCATTATAGAATTAAAGCTGAAACGACAGCATATGTAGCACTGTTATTTCCCACAAAAACAAAAAAAGTTATTTAGACCCATCTCTCTTGTTCTTTTTGGCCAATCAGAGCACACCTCGCTTTTCAGACCCATGAGCTTTGTAAAAATTGACGTGTTTCAGAAAGGCGGGGCACTGCAGGAACTTTCCCCATGAACTAGGGACTTTGGGCCGGTACTCGGTGTGTTTCCACCTTAGGAACCAGGATCTAAATAAAGTTCTGGGTAAAAATTTGCCCTGCTCACGAGGTAGTACTTTTTCAAAGGTCTGGAACTTTCGGGGGCGGGACTTGGGCGCTGAGCATGCTGATTGGTTGAGTACATGCCGCATTGTATTTCAACCATCAGTCGCATATTTTTTTTTTAAATATTACTGTCATTGCGTCATGAAATGTAGTTTTAAAAGTATTTCAGGCGAGAATGTAGTTGTTTAAAACTCAAACCTGCGGTTTATTTATAAAGACAGCGCCTTTTTGAAAATGTGTGTCGCTGATTTCGGAGATGTGAGCTCCAGGCGATCAGCGGGCGCTCAGTGCTCATGTTTCCCGACGAGAGCAGCCTCAACTCGGCTAGTCCTTCTGACATTTGCCGCTGGCTCCGATGTCTCTGTAGTGGTTAAACATGAGATATAATTCATTTTGGGTAAATCTAACAGACAATCTTTGGTCTTTATTCTATTAATATGTTAAAATGAAAAGAGGCAATATTGTTTGATATAATATTTTGTTTCATTGTAATGTATGTACGTTCCCTGAACTACATTTCTGGGCTATTAATATGTTTAAATGAAAACGAAAAGAGGCAGTGCTGTTTGATATCATATTTCGTCTTATTGTAAATACAGTGAGGAAAATTGCAGTAGCCAAGGCGAGCTGACTGGCGTTATCAAGTACGCTGCTGTTTGCCGAATTACCGGATGTGCGTCGTCCCGTCCGCGGGAGTTCACACAGTCGAACTTGCGAAGTCCGAACTACCGAGGATGCAAGTCCGAAATTTGCATACTTGGTATCTAGAAACGTGCGCAGACCTACGTCACCAGACTATTTGCATAATCTTCTCTGTACTTTAGACCGCGATGGAAACGCAGACAGCAACAGGTCTGGGGGAATAAAATAGGTAGTAGTGCTGGGCGGTATACCGGTTCATACCGAATACCGGTGTTTATTTTTGTTATGATATGAATTTTTAAAATACCGCAATACCGGTGTATGTCTCTTAAACATTGTTCGGAACGCGACGCTGTTTGAAAGGGGTCCCTTTTCACTGTTGCACTGTGGTGAGGGAACAGCTGTATGTGTTACTAAGCGTGAAAGTTCAGAAACTGAAGCTGTAGAACTAATAGAACGTGATGACACACAAGAACTCATCCACAATATCCACACTGACCGCCACAAATATCCACCGCCCCCTGCCATCAGCTCCCGCGTCTCACACACACACGAGCGCGACTTTAGCACTAGATTTAGCAACTTTCAGACCCTTTTAGCGGCTTTTTTCCATCGAATATTCATACTGACAAACCTAGCGACTTGAAACCTGTCGCTTGCTGATTGTTTGGAATTATAAATATGAGCGTAGTTCGTTTGTTAATATCACATGCACTTTTTTGTTTTTTTT